CGTAAGTTGATTTTATTTATTGCTTTCTGATCTTTGGTCTTGTCATATGAGTTGTACAATTGTCCTCGTATAATTACTGTAGTCGCAATTATTGTTAATGTAATAGATAAAATATATGTATATTAAATAATGTCTCCACGATTTTTTTTTAATTATTATAATGTAAATAAATTTTCTATTAAAATCCGCGATAACGCTGCTTCACTAAATAAAAATGACAGAAACGCTATGGGTATGAACAATAATAAATGTATTTTTTTTCCTCTGAATTAATTTTATATTGGTAATTGCTGTAACATTTTGCGCCTTACTGCTGCGGAAATCAAAATCAAATTCAAAATATATATGACCATCATTTTGTAACTCGAAAATGTCATTATTACTCTTTTTTTTTTAAAAAAAAAAAAAAAAAATTTTAATTGGTTTAGGTTTTAAATGTCTTCGAAAGAAATCGGGAATAGACGTTGGTGGTACAAAGTTCGCATGCGTTGCCACCACAACAGTTTCTCTAATAGATTCATCATTTTTCAAAAAACCTACCATTTCAACTTTAGCCCTTGATGATCATGGATACAAAGTATTGACCGGACCATTATTTTCGGTGGATTCATTTGATAAAGTACTTGATGAGTTTATTTTAAACTTGATGATACCTATAATAAGAATTATAAAATCGTATCAATCGGGGTTGCGATTTGTGGTTTAAGTGATAAAGAAGGCACCGTCACATTATGCGAAATCGGTATCCTTCAAGGATGGAACCCCGTGAAACATTTAAAAGAGAAGTTTGGTCAAGATGTTAGGGTTCTCACTTTTACGGATAGTGTTGCTGAATTGGAACATGCTAGAAGAGAATGGCCGGATGTAAAAGATATGTCTATCATTGTTGCGGGTAATTTTTTTTTTTTTTTTTTGATTTAATTTACTTTTTTTGCGATTTTCTGAAAAGAACTTGTGTGATTAAAGGTACTGGAATCGGAACAGCCTTTTTGTGCAATGGACAAATTGTTAGAGGTCATCTAAATGCGACAGGAAATCTTGGTATCGCTCCAATGTTTCTCCCACAAGATTACGCTAAATATGTAAAAAACTACATCACCCCGATGGGTTCGACACTTTCACCACCAACGATGATGCTTGATCAATTAGCAGGTGATAAAGCATTAATTCGTACCATCATCCAAGAAATTGGTGTTAGCGTTGAAGAAGCAATTCAACGACTTTCCAAATATTTCTTCTCCAAAAGAAGTCCTTTCAAGCTCTTCAGATAATGATGCTGAAATCGATCAAAAACTTGTCAAAGTCATATTGGATTGGGCTACAGTGTTTGGGATCGCTGTGGCTAATATCCTTTGTACTTTTAATCCAAAAGTGTTAGTAATCGCCAGAGGCGTTTTAAACTTCCCTTTTTATGTTGATAGAGTCATGGAAATTGGTCAAGAATATGCTGGCGTCATTGTTCCTGAAATTTGGAGTGAAACTTTGGTGGTTAGAAGTTATTGGAGTAGTGATTTGGTTGTCAGGGGTGCTTTAGCGGCTGCTTATGATGAAGGAAAGTAAAAAAAAAAAACTAATCTTTGAAAATTTTCTTTTTGTCACGAATTCATAATCGATCGTTTTATATCGATTGCGATCATAACATTCAAACAATTTTTTTGTAATTCCTAAAAATTAAGGATACTGTAATCGCCTTATAAAGAAGTTGGATATAGAAACATTGAACACGATGAACGAATAAATAATTAAATTGATAATCACCGTTTCCTTTTAAAAATATCCGCTATTGAATTAATAATTCGAATGAGTCTTTTAAGTGTTACATCCCACATTATCCCACATTGAATGAACCTTTCGCAGGATCGAAATACAATCTGAGAGGATTTCTAGGAAAATCAGTTTCGAGACTAAAATTAAGAGCTTAATGAATTTTAATCAATCTAATGACATCAAAACTAAAATGCAATAAAAATCTCAATTTTTGTTAAAAATTCCCGGAACCTGATTTTCCTAGCAATCAACCCATGTACAGTTAGAACTCGTTATAATGAACTCTTTATATAGCGATCACTTAATGAATTCTCGTTTAAACGATTTTTTTAAAATTTTTTTGTTCTATATTAAAACATAATATCATATTTATAAATTTTGATAAAACGATTTTTTTCAAAAATTTTTATAATAAACTTCTACACCTAACAAAAGAAAAAAAAACATATAAAGGAATGACTTAACTTTTACTTACCCGGGAGTAATTTTCTTTATTAATAAGACGACGTATTATACTTTATAAAAACATTAAAAAACATTACATATAAATATATAAATATAAGAAGTTATACGAACTAATCATCACTTGAAATGACATATAGTCATTTTATTTATTATAATTAAATATACTATAATTATTATTAATATAATCTTTTCTTTAGAAAGTATTTTTTTTTTTTTGCTGTTTCGCTTCTTCTATTAAACGAATCTATGGATTAATTTTTTTGTAAAGAAGTTAATCACGTGCCTGACCAAGTGTCACATGTTCTAACCAAAAATCGCCATATAAAATACATTGAAACGCGAAAAGAACGAATAGAAAAAAATTTGAATTCTTTTGGAAAAAGTAAACAGCATATTAAGCAGGTACATTTTTTATGCGCTTTAGCCTTATAAAGCTAGTTAACATATAAAATTAACTAAAAGTTATGTAACAATAAAATGTCACATTTTAACTTAGGCATTTACTTTATCACATACTTTTTTAGAATTTTAATGGTTTTTAACGAAAAGTAATAAAGCATGTCCGCTATGCTTATATTTCTATGGGTTATTATCTAAAGTGCGTCGTTTTTTCGTAACACCATATCTCAATTTTTGACTTGCAAATTCTGCATTCTTTCTTTTACGATTTTGCCTTTTCATTTCGTTCTTTTGAAGTTTACGTTTGGCTGCAGATTCAGGATCCACAAGAACCTGATAAAGGGCGAAATAAGATTTTAGATTTGTAACGAATTTAATATATATAATTTAAAATCAAATTTTCTTACCATGATTGCTTTTTTATGTTTACGTTCTCTTCTAACTTTCAAAACTTGTTGTTTAATCTTATTGTAAGAAATGTGAAATTGTGTTGTACCGACACGTTTCTGTACCAAATCAAGTATCTCTTTACCAAATTGTTTAAGGTTATCTATGCATAATATATCAATCACCTGATTTAATGCGCGTTAAATTTTAAAGCAGTCGTGCAAACAAAAGTTACTTACCGATCTCGTTTCCTTTAATAGTTTCATCGTTAACAAATCGATAAATAGGGCTAATTATAAGCATTAAGTAAGGTGTCAGGTCCGATGGCGGCATAAATGTTGTCATTGCTGCCATCCATTGATATATACTAGTACGCTGTATATAGATAAAATTCGCTATTGATAAACAAATTCAAGAATCTAAAACGGAAACAGAAACATTTAACAACCTAAATTAAACATACCTGTAAATCATTATCTTCTTTCTTGATTGGAGCTAATCTTGCTTGATATGACAATTTTTTAAACAACCAAAATAATGAAGGTTTCGCTTTGGTTGTAGTTTCATTGGATTGGCCAGTAATATACTCGGGTTCTTCGTCTTTGTTATCGCCATTCGTTTCCTGACTTTCATCTTTGTTATGATCATCATCCTGATTTTCAACCTCTTTATCTCCAAAATGCTCATTATCTTCGACAAATGTATTTTCATCATCAGAATTTAAATAATAGAGACTTTTTCCAATAAAAAACAAATTCTTTACAATTTGTGTTGCAAGTTCTGATCCCAAATACTCACTTTTCAATTGAATACAGAACTTGTTCGCTAATGTTCTCAACGTCATTTTTGTTAAATTTTCATTACGTTCATTAGTTACACTAATAATCTTAGTCTCGGGATTAATATTTGAAAAATATAATCCAAATAATCTACACGTTGAAAGCCTTACCCAACTGTGAGGGAAAAGTATATTATTTTCAATTAATACCCAAATGTTTTTTGATTTGTTTGAGTAAAGAACTGAGGGAAATTTCTTTACTAGTTTTGTAAAAGTGTTAAGAGCATAATATCCAAGTTCCCAATCAACATTATCTATCGTCATGGAATCATCATCTTTAGCAATTTCTTCTAATTGTTCTAAAACTTGTCGACTTATATTCAAAGCTTTTTCTAAGATATCTAATAATTCAAATATATGTTTTTTGAATTTGTCACCAAAAGCTTCAATTACAAGTCCATAAACTTGTACAGTCATCCTCTGTAAATTTCTTTTATCATTCTGCTCAAAACACTTTTCCAGTAAGACATAAATATTTCTAAGTCTTATTTCATCCATTCTATTTAAAAGGATTTTAATTAATTCCCCAGCCATTTCTCGGCATTTATTTGAATCATCATTTACTAATGACATAGCTAAAGATAAGAAAAATATTTCCGCATATTCCATTAAAACTTCTTCATTAAATTTAATCAATATTAAATTCAACATTTCCATTACTGATTGTCGTCCACTTTCGAAAACATAATTCAAATTTTTGATCAATAAGTTTAAATGGTTCTTCAATCGACCACGCCCTTGAGGATAGTCCAATAAAAATTGAATTAATAGTTGTCTCGATAAATCACGCGTAGGAGTTGCCTGACTCGTGATCATTATTTCAGTAACTATTTGCATCATATCGTATATTTCAGGGACCACGAATTTACGTGATATGATAGCACGTATCAACGAGAACGTTGTTCCTTGACGTTGAGGTTCTTCAAGATCAGGACGGATAAGATTAATGAGAAAAGTTAATTGACTTTCCTTAAATTCAAACTTCTTACGATCGCGTATTATAACTGTAAGTAATTTGAAACATGCTTGAACTAATTCCGAATTGGTAGTACTTGAAGTCCTTATTAACGTATAAATTTGTTTTACAATTACTGGTAAAGCATCATCCAAGGATTTTATCTTAAGATTACAGAATACGCACATGACCTTTAACGCGAGTATATTGACATTTGGATGCTTTGAATATAATGCATTTCCAACCGTATCCACAAATGGTGCCAATAACTCGAGTTGTTCCTCGGATTTCATATCAAATTTATCCCGTTTTAAGGCCGCTAGAAATATTGTCAAACCGAACTCCACAAATCTGTAAGAGTTGGCATCATAATATTCTACTGGTTCCGAAACGTGACGTTTAAGTTGAACCGTAAAGTTTGTATCCATGTTACTTTTCTTAGAATGTACCCTTTTTTTTGCTTTCAATATATCGAGATTTTGTGAAATAAGCCCTTGACAAAAAGTTACCATTTCTTTGGTATCGAACTGTGGATTTGAATTCAATCCAATAGATATTTTTCGTAATATATCATCAATCTTACTTAAAACTTTAGAGTTTTGTGTTTCACGCATAATCTCTTTCAGTGGTATCAGCAAAATTCCAATGTTCTTGAATTCAATAATTTTGGCAAGAAGTTCAAATGTCCCGAAACTTTTAGTGGATTTCATTTCCTTTATTTTTCCAGTAATTTCCTCTGTATCTTTCTCTTTACCAACCTCACCAAATATATCATTTATAATAATGTCAGTTATAGGCTGAAGACAATAATCAAGAGCACCTACTTGCAGGTTTGGTGCCAAATTGACCAGAAGAGTATGTAATGTATACCCGAGAATATGTAACTGATATCCCCGTGTCAATGCACCTTGTAACTCCCTTACTATAAAAGAAAAATATAAAGGTCCAAGAAAAGTTGAAATTTTGCTAAGAGTATTCCTGGTGGTGTCGCGAGCATCTTGCTGACGACTTCTTAATATTTGACACACAGTAGTAAGCAATCCAGGTAAATTGATCCGGAGTGATATTTCGGGTAAAGCCCTTAAAAGCTTAGTAATTGCTAACGCAACGGGAACACGAATGGTGATATTTTCATTATCATGTTGGGTTAAATATTTCTTAAGATCAGGAAGTAAATCATTAACAATATAATTATGAATACGGTCAGCTAAAGATCTGGTCTTTGCCTCATCTACCATCTCTTCACTGTCAGATAATTGTGGACCTTCAGATTCTTCTACTAATGCATTAATGCCTTCATCCGCATCATCATCAGCAATTAAGTGTCTATCGGACTCTTCATTAATAGGATTACGTTTTATTATCTTTGTTTTTTGAAAGATGGATTCTTTTGAACCTTTAAGTTGAGTTTCAGAAACCTGGGCTTCAGAAACATCAAAATGAAAATTGTCCAGTATGGCGATAATAGTTCGAACCAATACCTTTTCTAAATTCGGTTTCTTAGGAATCAATTTCATATAAAGTTTTAAAAGGGTATTGTATTGTCCCCATGGAAGTTGACCCGCAATAATCCCAATTGTTGATATAGTCTCATTAATTAGTAAATGTTCCGATACTCTATCCGCTTCAAAGATAAAATGGCCAATGAGCGGTATAAAGATCTGTACTAAGTTATTATTCTTTATTTTTCCATTTGCACACTCATTAGAAAATCTTTTGAGTGCACGAACACGACGGTGAATTTGAATG